GTGTGTGGTGTGTGGTGTGTGGTGTTTGGTGTGTGGTGTGTGGTGTGTGGTGTGTGGTGTGTGTTGTGTGCTGTGTGCTGTGTGCTGTGTGCTGTGTGGTGTGTGGTGTGCGCTGTGCGCTGTGTGCTGTGTGCTGTGTGTTGTGTGTTGTGTGCTGTGTGCTGTGTGCTGTGTGTTGTGTGTTGTGTGTTGTGTGTTGTGTGTTGTGTGTTGTGTGTTGTGTGTTGTGTGTTGTGTGTTGTGTGTTGTGTGTTGTGTGTTGTGTGTTGTGTGTTGTTTGTTGTGTGTTGTGTGTTGTGTGTTGTGTGTTGTGTGTTGTGTGTTGTGCGTTGTGCGTTGTGCGTTGTGCGTTGTGCGTTGTGCGTTGTGCGTTGTGTGTTGTGTGTTGTGTGTTGTGTGTTGTGTGTTGTGTGTTGTGTGTTGTGTGTTGTGTGTTGTGTGTTGTGTGTTGTGTGTTGTGTGTTGTGTGTTGTGTGTTGTGTGGTGTGTTGTGTGTTGTGTGTTGTGTGTTGTGTGTTGTGTGTTGTGTGTTGTGTGTTGTGTGTTGTGTGTTGTGTGTTGTGTGTTGTGTGTTGTGTGTTGTGTGTTGTGTTGTTGTGTGTTGTGTGTGTGTGTGTGTGTTGTGTGTTGTGTGTTGTGTGTTGTGTGTTGTGTGTTGTGTGTTGTGTGTTGTGTGTTGTGTGTTGTGTGTTGTGTGTTGTGTGTTGTGTGTTGTGTGTTGTGTGTTGTGTGTTGTGTGTTGTGTGTTGTGTGTTGTGTGTGTGTGTGTGTTGTGTGTGTGTGTGTGTGTGTTGTGTGTGTTGTGTGTTGTGTGTGTGTGTTGTGGGTTGTGGGTTGTGGGTTGTGGGTTGTGGGTTGTGGGTTGTGGGTTGTGGGTTGTGGGTTGTGGGTTGTGTGTTGTGTGTTGTGTGTTGTGTGTTGTGTGTTGTGTGTTGTGTGTTGTGTGTTGTGTGTTGTGTGGGTTGTGTGTTGTGTGTTGCGTGTTGTGTGTTGTGTGTTGTGTGCTGTGTGTTGTGTGTGGTGTGTTGTGTGTTGTGTGTTGTGTGTTGTGTGTTGTGTGGTGTGTGTGTGTGGTGTGTTGTGTGCGTGTGGTGTGTGTGTGGTGTGTGTGTGTGTTCCGCTGATCCGGCAGGGGAGTTTGTGAGAGCGTGGGCTTGAGCTCGCTCAAGCTTCGCTCTGGAGAAGGGGGGACGAATTCCAACGGAATTCACTGAACTCACAAGCCCCCCCGCCTCCCACACACACACACACACACACACACACACACACACACACATACACGCACACGCACACGCACACGCACACGCACACGCACACGCACACGAACACGCACACGCACACGCACACGCACACGCACACGCACACGCACACACACACACACACACACAGACACACACACACACACTTCCCTCTCTCCGAGAAGAATATTCTTCTCTGACCCCCCCATTCGACAGCCCCCCCAAAAGGCCCCCCCCTTCCGACATATCCCTTTCCGCTCTTCCGCTTTCTCTCCTACAGAGACCCCCACCCCCCCCCCCCTCCAGGACAGACCCCCCCCTCTTCCGACATATCCCTTTTCGCTCTTCCGCTCTCCTACTGACCCCCCCACACTCTCACAGACCCCCCACACACACACTCCGACAGACCCACCCCCCCCTCCAGAACTGACCTCACCTCTCCGAGAAATCTCCTTCCTTTTTTCCGACAGAGCTTCTCTCCTCGCCATTCAGGCCCCGGAGGGAGGAGGGGGGGGGCTGACACCATTCAGGCCCGGGAGGGAGGAGGGGGGGGGAGGCTTCGTCGCTCTGTCTGTCGGGGCGGGGGGGGGGGGGGGCTGACGCCATTCAGGCCCGGGAGAGAGGAGGGGGGGGGGGAGGCTGACGCCATTCAGGCCCGGGAGAGAGGGGGTGTGGGGGAGGCTTCGCTCTGTCGGGAGGGGGGGGGGAGGGGGGCTGACGCCATTCAGGCCGGGAGGGAGGAGAGGGGGGGGGGGGGGCTGACGCCACTCAGGCGGGTGGGGGAACGCCATGGGGAGGAGGGAGGGGGGCTGACCCCATTCAGGGCCAGGAGGGAGGAGCGGGGGGGGCCTGACGCCATTCAGGCCCGCAGGGAGGGGGGGGGGGGGGGGGGCTTCGCTCTGTCGGGGGGGAGGGGGGGCTGACGCCACTCAGGCCCGGGAGGGAGGAGGGGAGAGGGGGGCTGACGCCATTCAGGCCCGGGAGGAGGGGGGGGGGAAGGGGAGAACGCCATGGGCAGGAGAGGGGGGGGGGAACGCCATGGCTGACGCCATTCAGGCCTGGTAGGAGGACGTCGGGGGGAGGGGGGGGGAGCTGACGTCATGGCTGACGCCATTCAGGCCCGGGAGGGGGATCTGGAGGGGGGGGAGGGAAGGAGCCCTGACGCCATGGCTGACGCCATTCAGGCCCGGGAGGGAGAAGTCGGGGGGGGGAGCGGGGGCTGACGCCATGGCTGACGCCATTCAGGCCCGGAAGGCGGGAGGGGACATCCCATGCCGGAAGGCGGGAGGGGACATCCCATGAGTTTGGCTGTTCACGCGAGATCGTCACTTTCGAATATCCGACGGTTGCCCAAGCGAGCTCAACATCTCTATCGTATGAGGATTTCTTGAGCGAGTGCTCTTCGTTTAAACATAAAAGGTCCTCCGTTGGAAGCAGAATCAGTAGCACCCCGGATCGGCGGCACTGGCCGGAGGCCACTACAG